TGTTTAGTGTTCAGTCCAACCATCTTGACTGGCATTTCACCAGATTATGTCACAGCTCTGAGAAAGAACATGTAACTGAGTTTACTTTACATCAGGTCACAGGAGAAGGCTGGTGCCTGGATTTCACCTGAGTCTGAGGCTGAGCTATGTCCTGGTAACTGGGACGAAATTCTAGGTGCCATTATACACACCTAGCTATAGTGACATTGGGCAAGCTGTTGAATTTCTTTCTTTCATTTTACTATGAGAATAGCTTTATAAAATTTCCCCTCTTTGGAGCAGGGATAATTAATCAACTGATGTTTGTCAGGCTTTATTGCTAGTCCTGACATTAGGGCAGATCATCATAGTCTTTAAATATGATAGTAAATAAAGACTTTCTGTATAACAAAAGCCCTCTAAACTGAAGCTGAGTAATTGAGATTGGACTGTGTTGGTTTTGGTACCATTCTATACTTACTGTGAGAAACCCTTTCGCTGGTAGTGCTGTATCAACTCTCCATGGTCTCACTAATGGTCTGTCTCTCATGGCCTATATGACCAATGGGTTTGTTTTGGGGGATGGAGATTTTTGTTTCACTTTTCCCTCTCCAAAACATGGTGTTTTTCAGAATCTGATGCAGATCACATTTATTACTTACAAATCCTCTACCAAATGGCGTTCATTTACCCTATACCTCACATGTGACTTTGGTGGTTTCATCATTTTCTGTCCTCTCCAGTGGCACCTCTTTCCTGTCATCATCACAGCTAGATTTAAATTCCTTCCACAATTTTGCTTGGATAATCTGCCCTCTCCTTGATTGCTTTACTTCAGAAAACAGTCTGTCAGTAGTTTCTGTGAAAGTCTGCTATCTACTAATGTCTAATTAGTATAGACTTTCTAATGCCTTGTGCTTTATTTCACTTTACTGTGGTGACCTTTTTGGACTAAAAGGTTCATTAATAGTTGTTTTTTAAACAAGAGTAATACTATACTAAGAGCAATATTTTTGTTTTCTCATATACTTCAAGTATTTGACTGTTACGTTCAAATTATGAACATCCATTTAGTTAACGAGCAGTATTTGCTTTTTAACTGCAAATCAGTGCCTGCGAGAACTAAAACATTTGTTTTACAGTAGAGTACTTCAATAATAAGTTTATAGACAAATCTAGCATCCTTTCTGTCAAAGCCATGAAGTAAAGGATTCAAGATTCTTTGAGCCTAATCCACTGATATCACACATTTTAGTGGATAGAGCACTCTGCTGAGAAGTGTATTTGGACTTTTTTGGACATTTTAAAAAAATGGCTAAATTATAGTTACATAGCAAAGCAAATAAAACCTACTCCTGTAGGAGATGCAAATTCATCTTCTCAATCTCACTGAAGTTAGTTAGGTACAGAGCCAGTCCTGCTTGAGGTACTTTTGAGAATACTCAGAAGCAGATGGAGAAATATGAAAAAGAAAAAAAATATTGCCTGAAATATTATCTAGGACATGACATTCACGCCCCCTCTTTACCTGGGGACTTCCATGGCCTTTGGGAAGTAGTTCCAGAAGCAACATGCCAATTTTGCTGAAGTCCCACTGTCAGTTGCTCTGCTCTCTGTGGAATTAAGGTCTGGCTTTTTAGGTGTCTGTTCCTATTGTCAGTTCCTATTGTCAGAATAGAGAGTAGTACATAACCCGCTGAAGTAATTTACTCTTACAGACCTCTGTAAGCTTTGACCCTCGCCCTCTGGCGTTATATTCCCCCACACTCAGAAATATGTTGCCTCACTATATTTGTATGCTTCACTTCTGGGAAATGCAGCAAGACTCTCTTGATCTTTATATAGAAATACTCTGAATTGGTGTCCTGGTTTTTCTGGAAGTGGAGCAGACAGAGAACAGCAAAGCAGAGATTTAGTAAAATTAAAATACTTTAAGTTGAGGTATAACATAGGTTTAAGTTTGTACTTCTCTCTATCACTTTTTGATTTCCTTTTAGGTAGTATAAATGTTATGGTTACCTTGAGAAAGAATTTGTTTAAGTTTGGTAGTTTAGTTTAAAACAAGCAAGGAAAATGTAAAATTATGTCAGATTAAGCAAAGTATTGACAAAGTAAAATTTGGCCAAAAAACAAGTGGGTTTCAGCTGAAGCTACATATAAGGCACAGTGTTCAAGTTTACATGTTACTCATGGTACTTACTGAAACCTGAGTCTTTCCTTCTTTCTCTCAAGTATGTAGCTAATAATTTGCCACTTCCTAATTATTAGAATCTTTACTTTTCATTTAGGTGAATTAAATACAACTTTTTTTGTTAATCTGATGCAAATACAGCCCTCTTAACCGGAACTGGTATATTTGCAAGTGTGCAATGAAAATGCAGTTTGAATCAACATTGTTGCCTTTTCAAATGAAAATATCTAGAAATACTGTCAACCTTGCTAAATGTTGATGAACTGTTGCCAAATGAAATGCTTGATGAAGGACATCCCATTACCATTGCTCGTTGGAAGCTAGGCACATAACACCAAGGGGATTGCTCAAAGTTAATTCTGCTCTTACAATGTTTTCCTAAGCATTCGCTGTTCACTGTTGGAAACAGGAAAGTGGGCAAGAAAGATCTTTAACCTGACCAGAGTGTTCTTACGTGGCATACCAAAGGACTATATTTACTTTGATGTAATAACCACATGTGGCACTCTGGGTTACACTCAATGCCATCCTTGGGGTTTGTGTATATTCAAACACTGCACAAATATAAAGACCACTACTGCTAGATACTATGCCTGTTTAAAAAGTCAATGTGTTGTTAACATTTCTTGTTCTTGGGGATATAAATACTCTCCCTTTCCTTATTATTCTTTTGAAATTTTACAGAGCATGTTCATATTAAAATATATTTATCTTGTTCTCTTTCTGTCCAAAATATTTTTTTTTGACTGAATTTCAAACAAACGATATGCTTTTGAACCATTATGGACAGTTTGTTCTTTATATTAATTTCATTTAGGTAAGATACTGAAATAAGATAATTTGGATTAAGGATAGTATTATTTTCTGAATTTCAGCACTGTTAACATAGTCATTATATGGCACTGTACTTAAATAAATAATTCCAGATTGTTCTCTGTATTGCAGAGGAACAGACATCTTCTGCTGGGAAACCCCAGAAAGGACTGGTAGATCCTTACCCAACATTTCAAAGAAGGAAAACTACTCGTTTTCTTAAAATTGGAACTCCTTTCTATCAGGACAATCAACTTCAGGTCAAGGTCTACTGGAAGAAGACAGGTTTGTCAAATTTTTATTTTACTATTTTTTCTAAGGAGGAACTCTCATCAACTGCTTCAGAGTTGTAGAACATTGATATGATATAATGAACCTTGTACAATCATTGAAGTTAAATCCTACACCCATCCTTCCTTCCCTTCACCTTTACATTAGAGTGAAACATTGCCTCTCCTCTGTCTTACGGATGTGTAAATGTCTGGCAGAGGGAAATGACATGAATCAGCTACCCAAAAAATACAGTCAGTCATGTTGGGACACTGAATCTTCCCAGAGCTGAGATAATTTTTAGTTTGGTGGAAATTACTTCTGTAAAGTTTTAAATAGGGAAGCAGGATTTGGCCTTATGTTCAACAGAGCTTTTGTGGCTATGAATGTTGTCTCCCTGGAGTGTGGTCAGAGGGTCTCGAGCACATACAGTTTCCGGGTGGATTTTCTGCTGATGCCACTGCAGTATCATTTGTTGGACTTTGTCAGTTGAGAAATGAATCAGGAAATGAATGTATAAGGAAATCATGCAGTGGTGTCATAAAAACTGAACTGTAGTTTGAACCACAAAATTTAGTTATACTGGCTCATGTTAAAGCCACCATGGGCTTTATGCCAAACTTTATCAGTCACCTTGAATTAGAACAGGATGAATAGTTGGCCACAACCACTGGAAAAATCTTTAAGTTGGTTTTCTGCTGGGCTGCATGCACCCTTCTGTTTTTCAGAAAAATCTAACAATAATTTTATGTTTATGTCTTCCAGTCTAAAGGAAAATTGTCAAATGCAATAAATTTTAAGTGTCTAATCAGATTCAGAAATCAAAAAAGGGATTTTCCTTTCTTGCCCTCTAGGAGCATATAGGTTGTTACACACTGCTCCAGCTTAGCCATAACAGGTTCATATGTTGTTATTTGAAAATATGCTTACACTGTTAATGTTTTAACTTGGAGCAATCTACATGTGTAGTAGTAGCCCATGTATAAAATCTATTCAATTTTTGTGTTTGAAATGAGCTACAAAATGGAAAATCATCTTTTCTTCTGGAATTTTTCAAACAATTTTAGAAATATTTAAGTTCTTTTGGGTTTAGGTGTATGCAGCACCACCCTGAATGAGGAAAGGCTATATAAACATTCAATTATGCTATGTGACATACGAATATGTCACATTGGATGGTGTGGATTGTGAGAGGTATCTTTTGCTTCTTAAAAAGAGCCTGCCTGTTTGAATGGTTATCTTTCTAGCCCTGCTGTATCAAATACTTTCAGATCAAATGCTTATTCCTCCATAAAATCTGCAAGCTTTGGCTCAGCCTGACTACATACACATTTTAAATGTTTGTTCCTATCTTGGCTATGCTAGTTTTCTTTTTTCTAGCTTTCCCCATTATATTTCTTTTTTGCCTAACTAAATGGAAAGCTGGAATAATTTAAAGTTTCAGTAAAAGTTTAGGCATTTTTAATTGTGAATACTAAGTTTACCTAACAATACGCTTTTGGTTATCCAAAGTGAGATTTATGTATTCTGAGCTTGGGACTGATCACCTTAAGCTTTAGCCTTCTGGAAGTGAGATGTCAATTCGTTGTCCAAGCTCCTTTTACCATCAAAAAAGAAAAGAAGGTGACTTCTGAAGGAATTCATCCCACACAGCAGCTGAATCTTTCTCTGGAGATGCCTCTCTTCCTTACTGAGTACGGAAGGGAGCCTAGACAGCTCACTCCTACAAGGCTTAGAGATGCCTAACATCTCTCTGTGAGCTGAGGTTCAATTCTGAGCGCTTTGAACTGAAAAAAATGAGGGACAAGATTCAAAGATGAGGAGACTCTGATGCCTCCCACAGGTGTAAGGCCGGCTTGTGCAACTCACAGTCTACAGGCAAGATTCAGCCCAGTGGAACAATCGATCCAGCTGCAGACCTTTTCCTGCCAGCCTGTTTCCAGAAGAAAGATTATGTGTCCTGTGACCAAAATGCCAGCACCCCTAGTGAAATTCATCTTACAAGTAGTTTTCCAAATTCACTGTTATAGTTGATGGAGGAAAAATCATGACCAGTACAGCAATATTCATCTTGTTCCAAAGTAGATATCTTGAACTAGGTGTCCACTAATTACAATAGTAACTTGGATATTGAGCTTATAAGTAGATGTTACACCATAGTTACTTAAACGTTGACATCTAAATCTGGAGCTGAATCCCACACTGTGTTACATACCTGGAAGTAATATTTGTAGCAAAAGTTATAAATGCCTATAAAAAGAAATAAGGTAGTCAACATTCTCATAGTGGCTGAGAAAAGAGGTAATTAAGATTAAATAAAGTCAGGGAATATTTTATAGTTTGGAAATAACAGTATTTGGAAGTGGTGTAATCTTCACAATTGGAGATCTTCAAAGACAGATATGGCACAGATCTGTTAGAAATTACATGGGTTTACATACTGTCACCTCGTGCCAGGGATGGACCAGGTGAGCTCCTGAGTTGCTGACTGTGCAGCTGACTCATCTTGTGCGAATCTGTGTACATCCAGTTGTATGAGGGGGACAGCCAGAGGTCCGTTTTGGTCACGTGGCGGGAGCAAGCTTTGTCACATGCACTAGGGTGTTTATGTATATGCCCCAGCCATGCAGTGGAAGTTGCCTTCATTTTTCTCACATAATGAACAGTGATAGCAAAGGTGTGTGAAGAGGGGCAGAATATGGCAGTTTGTCACACTTAGTTTTTTCTTTTCTTTTTTAAAGAGAAAATATCTGTGTTCTGAGTGACAGCATATGCGGTAACTCAGCAGGAGCCATTGCTTCACGTGGAACTGAAATCTAGACAGTTACCTGCTCCTGAGAAGCTAGCAGCTTCTATAAGCTCTTACAGCAGTTTGGAGGTTACGTAGTACATGGATGAGGTACTGACTGTAAATTTACTAGTGACAATTTACTGCAGAGCGAGTCTTTTTCACCATGCAAGGAACACAGCAGGAGGAGCGTATTGGCTGTGTCTTGTCTTCATGAAAGACAGCAGTTACTGGAGCCAGCTGCTTTGGGAACTGTACCCACGCGCCTTTCTCCTTTATGAACTGCACTGTCTCAAGTTGTGTTTAGGGAGTTGTAGGAGGTATAAGATTGCAGCAACTATAATAGCAAATACTGAGAGAGAATTTACCTCAGCCTACTCTATGGCCCAGCGTCTAGGTTATTTTCATTGCAGATAGGCAATCAGAGTTCAAATCCTTCCTGACAGGGAATTGACCTCTTTGTCTTCTACGTGGTGGGTGAAAACAGGAGTCCCTGTTGATCGCTGTAATGTTCTCATTATTTTGTAGTTTGCTATTAAAAACAACACTTTTTTTGGTACAGGAACACAGACATTCTAGAGTCCTAAATTAAGATATGTGACTTTAAAAAAAATAAAAATTAAGAAAATATCATGAAACCATGTGAAATAAGTATATTGATAATGGTATGAGTTTCCATGACATAAAAAATAATTCAAAAATACGAGTCTCAAACTTGAATATGCTGGACATTTGTAATATAAGCAAGATTTCAATTGGTTGTAGCAATCTTTGCCTTGTCTGGTTTGATTTTCAAGGTTTTCTGTACTTTCTCTGATGGACTTCATGGTCCTAAAAAAAGATGGTTGCAGTGGTGGTGAAATAAATACATTATTTAGATTTTAGATGTTTTTAAAATATAGACATTTAAACCGGTATGATATGTTGATATAGAGTGTCTTTTAGCTGTAATGAAAACTTTAACAACTACTAAAACAGCAGTCTTTCACTTTGTAAGAATGTTACTCATTTTCTAGAGTAATAGCTGCTCAGAAATTTTTGTTGTATTCCTGAATTCAGTGGCCTTACCATTCTACTTAGACCTGAGATTATTTGGTTTTGGTTTTGTTTTTTTTAATTCTGTCCAAAACCAAAATGGCTCTATAGAAGTGTTTTTTGTTGCCTCCCAACACTGTAGCATCACAGCACACCACAGATTACAGAAACAAACAGAAGGAAAGACTTGTGTGGATTTCTTGCCGTCTCAGACCACTTAAGAAACACAAACGTGTTCCTGAGGTTGCTTTAGAGTATTACTTTACTTTCATTGGTCCCTTCGTTAGCTGAGAAATTGTTTTCCTTTTGAATTGGAACCATTTTACTCTCTCTAAAAAGGACAAAATAGAACTGAATCATAGAATAATTTAAATGAGTTGGAAGGGACCTCTGGAGGTCAGCTGGTCCAACCATCTGCTCAAAGTAGAACTCTGGAGTTAAATCAAGTTGTTCAGTCCTATCTGTAAGGCCCTATAAAAGATGTTGTTATTGTTTTTTGAGTGACAGGGAATTTGTCCTTTATGAATATCAGGCTGCAGAGGCCACCTAGCAGTTTATTGCAATGCACCTTAGGGTTGCCAGAATGTACGGTGATGTCTCTTGACATTCAAAGATAGTTCTTCCATTACTGTGCAGAAGATATATTCCTCAGTGTCATTTGCAGATGTGCCTCTAGGAAGCCAGTGAAAGACCACAATGATGACATCAGGGCTGAAGCTCTTGGTTTTATATCATCCCTCTGGATAGACCTCTATCCTGTGCAACAACTGCAATAGAGGGGGTGTGGCAAACTATTACTGAACTGGCTTTATTATACAGTAAAGAAGTGATTGCTTATCAGTACTCAGAAACTGAACACAGTATTTGAGTTAAAGTCTGAGTAAGTGGATGGAAGATCCTATTTCCATATATGTGCATCATAATGCACCACAGTTTGGTAGCAGGAAGGACTTATTTAGGCCTGTTCTTCAAGTGTCATTTCTTAAGCCCCATTAGCTTCAGTAAGCATGAGGCATGAATGGAATGTAGGATCTGGACTTTACATTAAAATAAATCTCTTTCTGAAATAGTCTTTCAGTTTGAACGCTTCGGTATGATGGCAATAATAACTTTACTTCAGGATGTATGCTAGCAAAAATAACTCCACACTTCAAGCAGTACAAGGTGCTTAGCAAATGCACATAATTTTGCT